TATATATATATATATATATATATATATATATATATATATATATATATATATTATATTTATATAATATTTATATAATAATAAATTTATAATATATAATTTATAAATAATTTATATTATATATATATAATATTATATAAATAATCAAATTNATTATCGACGTGCTGGCGCGACATTCTCCGCACAGGTACCACGGCAACCTGTTACGCAAAGCAACAGTTGTGTATACACGTGGTGCCTGCATGCGATTTGCCAGCTCGTGCCACGATATTTAAATGCGCCCATAAAGACGATAGTAATGCAATAATGCATAGCGTAATCATTTCTTTTAACATTTTTTGTCGTAATACGGCCATAAATGCCATAAATGCCGCATTACCGACGAAACAGGGACGATAACTGTTCCTAGAACGTATTTACTTCTGTGACAAACTTTTCGTCCAACGAGCACCACTTTCGTGCTTCCTTCCCGTTTCAAGGCAGAACAATTCGACCAGAACAATGAGCCGTGATTTCGCGGGGACAGCGTTACAATGCTTCGCGACTTTCTAATTTGATAGTGTCCAAAAAAGGTTAACAGCGAGGGTAATGGACGATTGCGAAATTCGGTCACCACTAGACAAATCTGGAATATTCATGACTGCACATGCCCGCAGATGAGATTTTCTTCTTCGTTCAATCGAATCACTCAACGACGTAATCATTTACATTTGCTATCGATTTTACGAACCATATTACGAACCGATTTCACCGGTTTCACGTACCCCGCTTGTTGACATTATCTGGCATGTTTAAAATCGCGCTAAAGGATAAATTTATTTCTGTCACGTTAAGACAACACGTACTGGTTTTGTGTATACCGATTTAGACTCGATTATAGTAGAACAAGCAGATTGCCGATTTTACGCGTTCGCAGAGTTTTTGATCGTTTACAAAGAAATGTTTAAAAAAGATCCATTTCTGTCTCGATCGACTCGAATGGAGAATGCATATCGAGCTGCTTGATTTTGGAAAAATTCACTCGCGAAAATTCATATTTGTTCAGAAATCCACAATCTGTTAATATCTCGCGCTTTCGTACGAACCTTGTACAATTGTCCAATTTAAACGCGAATCATCGAGGAAGTTTAGAACGCGTTTGCCACGACTATAAACGATTCGCACGATGGACGATCAAACATTTCGGATTACGTTGACGTACTGCACTCGCGATCAACGGCGAAACGATTGTCACGATGTAAATGATAAGACCACGGTCCCGCGCGAGCGCTTCGACATTATTGATCGTCGCTTTAACACCGCTACGCTACTTTTTCCTCTTATATTCCAGTTACTAATTTTTGAGAAGCAGTGCGCGTGCTTTCACACACTTTCACGAAAAGGCTCTCGAAACCTGAAAAGTCGCTGCGATTTGTAATGCGTTCTTGAATAGTAGATTACGATTTCTCTTGCAGCTAATCTCGTGTTCGAGAAAATTAAGTCTGAATTTCATCCTACGTGCCTGATAGTTTCTAGCTATGGAAATGAAAAAAGTAACCACTGCTTCAGATTTTCAGCTTTCGAAATTACGACGCTATGTAAAAATTTGTTTATCTTTAGGATTAAGATTGCTAAGATTAAAAAACTTTTAATGTGCCGTGTTTCATTACTAAACTTAGAGCATGACATTGTGTCTGAGCTTAAGTGCTTTCTGTGTGCAGAAACGTTATCGGCTTTTGCTCTAATCCCTATGTCTGTTAATAAAAATCATTTATTATCAATGCTTCCCGTTTCACAATTGGTTCTGTCACGATTTTCTGCAAACTGCGAAACGAGCGACAACGCTGCGTTATAATTTCAGTGAGTTATTACGTTAGTATGCTCAACTCGAACTGTTATACTTAAATCGATAACTCCGTCTAGGCTTATTGAAAAATAAATTATGTGAATCAATCGATGCTATATCGATTGTTTAAACTATACTCGAGCAATTGTAGCAACATATTGCTTCCTGGTTGAATGATTTAATGAGATTCGCACGGAGATAAGAATGCATGAGTAACATAGGTGTAGAAAGTCCCAAGGAAATCTAGTTTATGAAAGGAGATTGCATTGCAAGAGATTTCGCTCCTAAAAAAAAAAATGCGCGCTGACATTTAAACAAAGGTATTCAATGTATGTGATCGATTATGCACCATCAATTAAATGTTACTCGTTGCACCGATGCAATTTTTCCATGTATATAAAATAATAATTGATGACATATCAAAACTGCAATAATCGATTGTACAACAAACTAATGTACAACTACACTTCACGAGTATGTTTATTATGTTGTGGATATGGTATTATATTCTAATGACACACTCTGATAATTTTGAACAAAGTGAAGAAATAAAATAAAATGAAATAATCGAGATAAATGATGTGTCAAGCGATGTAGCAACTAATTGCAAGAGCTGTCAGTAAATTTAACCCAGTTGAAGAACTTTGTTTGCACTAAGAGACAATTTAGGATTAAGCAAGATAAGGGAAAAATACTGGCGAAATTTTTTAATGGGACCGAATAATAAAACGAATCTCCTAGCAAATGATGTTGAAGCTCGGCTTGATCAAACGGAGATAAAAATTACTGTGAAAATACTTACCTTGTGATTAATGTTTTGAATTGCATAAATTATTATCCATAAACACAATAATGACGTTGCCGTCGTGTTAACACTAGCACTCGGAAATTCACATCAGATAAAACAATAAATAAATTTAAGCTATCGAGAATTTGTACTATTATTGTAGCATGAAAAATCTATTCTTCTATTATTTTAGAACAAATTCCATAAATCCGAAACATGGAATGGTCATAACGCTATGCAGGATGGAGCGACTGACCGGAATAAACGGAAAACGTTAAGTGGGTAAGTAGTCGGCTGTGCAGGTAGAACTTGAACATATATAGGAGATTGGAAATTGTTCTTTGCACCAATCGGAGCACCGTATCGCCGGTGTAATGGCACGAATATTATGCAATACCAATCTCGTGCGGTAACTCAAAAATATTTTGTTCGCATCCGGCCGTCTGCGACGTCGCCGTTGAGTGTTTCCGCGACCATCCTGCGGTTTTTTGATCATCACAAAGTTTCACTTTTAATGATCGAAAAAATTACATCTCCTGGCTTTTATCCGTATTACTTATCGTCAGCTCTATTTGAAAGATATCATTTGACGGTAGTAATCATTATGTTAATACCATCCTTCGTTTTTACGTATCTAAAACCTTTCCCAAACATTGGATAAACCTACAAAGCAATTAGTGTTCTAATTTTAATTTATAACGTCTGTTACTTGTTAACAGAGAATTAGCGGGTCGTGATAGTTGTTACCATAAGCAACCATCGGTGTCTTATGATTAAAACTGAGTTCAATTGTTACATCTACGTGCTGGTAGAAAACGTTATTAACAAAGAATGCTCATAATACAAATAACTATGGTAAATATAATTCATGGTACAAATCAAGAATAATAAAATTGCGTGGAGGCTCCGTTTTCGAGAAAATTGCATACAAATATCAGTCGAGTATACCTGTACTTAATTAATAATCGATCATTATAGACCGCTAATACAATTGTTTGCACATATGATATAATGTCAGGGCTTGTTTACTATCGGGATACGATTGAAGGATACGTTAAACACACAGGATACTAAAATAATCAGCGTATTTTTCGTTGAGTTTAGTTTATTATTTTTAACCAAAATATTGTACAAAATGCATCCATTCGACTGATGTTTAGAATTTGATTTCCTCGAAAACGAAGCCTCCCACGGAACTTCGTCATTCTTGATTTTTCATCGAATTTCCAGCTGTAGAACCTACCCGATCCAATTTGTGCCACGAATTATGAAACACCCTGTACAATAATTAGGAGCCGACCGACCCCCCCGAATCCCACGAAAGGTTCGAGCGAGGCGAGTACAAGAGCGGACTCTGTTTCCTTTCAGAATGCAGTAAACATGCCGTCGTTGCTGGAAGCGCTGGAGCTGAAGTACGGTAGTTCAACGACCGACTGCTCGCTGACCGATGAGGAGACGGAGTCTAGCTCGCCGAAGGCCGCCCTCTCTGTCAGCATATTCATCCCGAAGAAGTCGCCGCGGCACACGGTCCCCGCTCTGCTGGTGCTGCAGGACTGCGACATCGAGTGCGCCGGGAACGACGACGAGAAGCTGCGCAGCAAGTGCAAGAACGTCGAGGAGCTCGACCTCGCCCAGAACAAGCTCTCGCAATGGACGGAGGTGTTCGGGATCCTGCAGCACATGCCGAAGATCAAGTTCGTGAACCTGAGCTTCAACAGCCTCGCGGAGGTCCTCGAGATCAAGCACGGTAGCTACGACCTGCTGAAGAACCTGGTCCTGAACGGGACCAGGGTGTCCTGGTCGACGGTGCAGGGACTGATACGGTTGCTGCGTAACCTGGAGGAGCTACACCTGTCCTTGAACGAGTACAAGACCGTCGACATAGAGTACCAGAAGCCGGAGAACGGGAACCCTTCGGTGAAGAAGCTACACTTCACCGGGAACCCGATAGAGGTCTGGAACGAGATCTCGAAGCTGGGCTACGTCTTCCCCAATCTGGAGAGCCTGGTCCTCGCGGAGTGTCCGCTGAGATCGCTTGCGTTGGTGGACAATAGGAACTCGAACGACGAGGAGACCACATGCCAGAAGAAGGAGCAGGAGAGCCTCTGCCAGGACAACGAGAACATGAACAATCTCGGGGTGGACGAGAACGGGTCCGTGGATGGCAAAGGGAATCGGATATACGCCGAGGGCAAGGTCAATTACGACAGGTCCGAGTCCGAGTCGGAGTCCAGTGGGACCACCATCAAGTCCTCCCACGATCCCTTCAGGAAGCTGCGGTTCTTGAACGTGAATGGAACGCTGCTCTCCACGTGGGACGACGTCGAGAGGCTCGCCAGGTTCCCGGTCCTGAAGTCGCTGAGGATTCAGGGCTGCCCTCTTTTCGAGGTGAAAGAGCTTTCCTTCGTCTAAAACTTGACTTTCGATACTTTTCTCCCTGGTACAGTATACGAAATTTCTAGAAGAACACTGCTAGGGAGCCAAGCAAGGAATGTGGCGAAAACCATTTACAGTAGAATCCGTTGTACAGAAAGTTAATAAATTTAGTACTTACGTATACCGTTACATTTAAAATTAAGCAAAGAACACGGGAAAAAACCGTTATGCAATGCAAGATTAACAGGCGCGACAATTCGCGTATTTTTAAAGAAATTATAACGACTAACATCTTTGCTGCTCGAATAAAACAAGATATAGAACTGTCGGTAAGTACGCGATGAGAGCAGCAAATACCACAAAACGATAGACGATTGTAATATTAACGTTACATTTTTATTAAAAATAGCAGTGTTCTTCTAGAAATCTCGTATACCGTATCTCGATCAATCACCGTGGCTAATTGTCGAATTTTGAAGCATTTAATCGAAAGAAGATTGAGTAATTAGTAGACCGGGGATTTCATGCATTTGTGACAAAAATGAGTATCTGCAGCTTTAAAGAGAAGAAAAAGAGTAAAAGAATTAAAGAATTAAGAGCATCGATACATTGCATTCGACCTACTACAACTATTAAAGAAAGAAAAAAGTTCCCAAATGATTCCCGACTCTTGCAACAAACATAGACAATTTTAATTTCGCGCAAAAATCCGCAGTCTAATGATTAGAAACTGACATCTGTGCGCCCTTTCGAACTCTTCGGCATCTACCTGTATAATCTACGGGATATTAAAGTCTCGATCTGCGTAGAGATCGGCCGATAAAGTTAAACCGAGGTCTGTCGACAATTCGGGCCACGGTCTGTTAATTGTCTCGTTCCCGCTGCGAGCATCCGGCTCGCGGGATAAATAAAAAAACAATGAAGAGCGAGCAATCGATGTTCCAGAGTCCTCGGGAGTACACGGAGCACGAGAGGCGGCAGCTGTTGATAGCGAGGCTGCCGAACGTCGAGACGTTGAACGGCGGCGGCGTGATATCGTCCCAGGAACGCGAGGACGCCGAGAGGGCCTTCATCCGCTACTACATGGACAAACCGGAAGCGGACAGGCCTGAAAGGTGCGTCGAAAACTCGCCATTCGATCGGCCGTTCCTCGATTTAGATCCGTCAGCGTCTGGTTCCTGTCTTTCCGTTTTCATTCGACAAGCCGCGGCCTCCTTATGTTCGCGCTCCTCTATTCTTGATCCGGACCCATCGGCCGCCATCTTGTCCGCGAGTGGACCGCCATGTGCGCGCCGTTCAAGGATCTTCGAGACTGTTAGGGACACTTGCCGATGAATATTTATAGTCGATTTGCGAACGAACGGGTTTGGAATTACGAAAGTTCGCCAATTTCCTATTTTTCTTTGTTCGCCCGCTGACTCGTTCGTTCTTTATGCTCGATCTTCCCTTTGGGAGAATGAGCTTGTTGAGTCGGAAACTTCCACAGACTTTCATAAACGAATGATCGTTTCGGATCCTCTGATTGTCAAGATCAAAGACTGGCTCCGATGGATCGACGCCATTTTCCAATTTCACTAGGATCAAAGACGCTTTCGTAAAGAGAACGAGTCATAAATAATCTCCGATGCGATCCATCACTGTTCGAATCCACCAGCTACGAGTCATCGGGACAAACGAGTTTTTGCTTTCACCGAATAGATAAGGGTTCAAAATAAATAAAATAAAAAATAAAAAGGAGTAAATATTATACGAGAGAATAAAATAAATGTCTGATAAAGAAACGGAAGTTATTTATGACTCGACCTAATATTTACATGAACGTCGTACCAGAAGAACACCGAGTGTATTTCGGTTAAATGAACGAGCCGCCATTGTCCCACTAATTCAGATCCTTGAATGGCGTGTTCGTGCCTGGCCGGCCTGGCCGAAGTGCAGAGAAGTTAATTTGGCGTCAATCCCGCCGGGAATTAACTGCCGTATATTTTCTCCGGGTCTCCGCATTCATCGTTTCTATTCTAGTTGCACCAGAAACCATAAAGCTATTCTAGTTTCACGGGCGGCGTTTGTCGCCGCGACGCGCGAACCCTAACTTGACCCTGTTCCTCCGTTTTCAGGTACTCGGAGCTGGTGGCTATTCACGGCAAGCTGGACCCGCTGGTTCACGTTGACCTGACGCCGGAGAAGAGGGTCAAGGTCACGTTCACATACGGCGACCTGGTCGAGGTAAATTATTCGCCGTTTGCCCGCGGAAACCGATAATTGGCCACCGTAATTAACCCTCGTCCGCCCCCCGTTCCCACTGCCTAATCTCGCCGTGGATCAATCATGCGAGATCAGTGCGATACAAACGCGAACGACCGACTCGGCAAGTTCTTTCCGCAAGTCCATCTCGCATAGTACGAAGTCAGATTCGTTGATCGAGGTTTCAAACGAAATCTGCGAGTTCTGCGAATTCTTTTTCTCATTCGTTCGTGTCGAACTCGAATTCTGCTCTTTTGCTATGAATTTTTGAACGTGCTATTTTCTTCTAAAAAATGTTTAGGGTGTGAAAATCATAAGCGAAGGGTTGAGAATGAAATGCTAGAGCATAATTTGTGAAACTTACAATTTGGTCAGTACCCATGTAAATCTAAATTTAGTCACTGTCCACGACAATTAAAATTTTGTCATTATCCACGAAGATTACAATTTAGCCAGTGTCCACGACAATTAAAATTTAGTCATTATCCAAATGGAAATTAATGCACCAAAATGGAAATTACTATGAGGAAAAGACGAGGGTAAATAACGATGTCCAATCGTCTCGCTTGTAAAATTGTCGCGTTTGTTCGCTCAGCTGATCAATCTTTGCTACCGCAAGCCGTTCGAAGGGCATTCACGGTTTCCCATAGACCGCCGCGCGTAGATACATTGTTAAACATCGCTGGGAAATTGTAGGTACGCTCCGTGGACGTGTACAGGACGGTTTTCGAGCTGAAAACCAAGCTGGAGACGATGGTGAAAATCCCGGCGAATCGGATGCGACTGTTCTACGTGGACCAGGTGAGCAATCCCGGACGACGTCACTTTATCTGTTGTTTCTTCTGTTTTGCAGAATGATTGGTTCCTCGAGAGTCCCCTTAAAAACCACGAAATCACGATATAGAACCCACACACCCCTCCCACGAAATCGCGCTAACCTCGGCGAGCCGCGAAAATTTCGAAAATTATCGAGCATCGAGGTAAATCGTTTCTACAGTGTGTCCGCATAGGCGTACCGAAAATTCTTTTCCCTTTTTTCTTTGCTTCGAACGGTACACCAGAAGTGTGCGTGTGTGTATGTGTGCACTGTGTTTGGCGCAAGTCCTCGATGGTCTTTGCGATTGTTCAGGACACGAAATAGTTACTCTTAGAAACAGTTACTTACGGTTTGATCTTTCATAAATAATAATAATTATTATTATTTATTTATTCATGTGTACGGGCAGAATTACCCTTTGTTACAGAAAAGTAGTAAAAAGTAAGAGATTTTAAATGGCAATCGCATGAGTACAAACGAAGAGAAAAAAGAAAAATAGAGTATAAACAAAAAGAAAACAGAGAAAAATTATGTACATACATAATATATATATTTATATATTATTATTATATATTATAATATATATTAGAATAATATAATATATATTATATATTATTACACATTATGATACATATTATAATAATATAATATATATTATTATGTTTAATGTATCTATCGTATCTTGAACGCATTCCAAGACAATGAATTGCGTGCACTTGTGCCAGACACCCTGCGGTGTTCGTGCCTGCGACGTTGCTTTAATAGATCCGATGGTTTCATTCAGGTGATGAAGGCGCAATACGGCCCCGAGGAGATGCTCTACCCGAACAAGCAGCTGTATCGGTACAACATACGGAACGGCGACGAGATCATCATCGACAGCAAGCTGAACCGCTGCGTGTCCGCCTCCTCCGGCACGCCCTCGATACGCTCCTGAAGAAGGTTCGCCAGCGAGTCGTCGGACGACTCGAAACAGACCTGACGATCGTCAGGGTCCGATCTCCAGTAACGAGCTGACGACCCGAAAAGAGAACAGAGAAAGGAGGACCGCCGCGATCGACGAAGATCCGCGAAGATCGCAGGAAGTCGACGTCGGGGACACTCGAGATCTTTTTATATAAGCATTCTTCGAGTAAAGTTGTTTTTCTAGCGACGAACTGTGTACACGTCGTCGATTCTTCAGGGTTCGAAGAGAAGCGTTTCGAAAAGAGAGCGGTGGGGGAGGGGGCTGCAGAGAGTCGATGGATCGCGATCGATCCCTGAGGGCGTCCGCCGGGTACGATCGTTGGCCCGTGTTTGATACTCGATTAGATCGTTAGGCGAAGGGCGTCGCGGACATTTTCATTTTTACACGAGAGAGAGACAGATTCCGGCGAGAATCGGCGACCCTTCCGCGAAGCTTCGCAATAATCGTTAGCGTAGATTACAGCAGCCTATCAGAGGAAATGAAACCAGTTACGTACTTAGAAGAAGTAGTACTCCGCTCGCGGATTCCTTCCTGAGTGCTGTGGGTGCTCGATAAGCAGCCGCTGGGGGGACAATCTCGCGTCGACTTACTTACACGGTTCTACGTTGATCGACGTATCTTAGATACTAGTCGAAGACGTCGAGATTACAGCGCCGCGATTGTTTCTTCGCCGAAGAAGAATCTTCAGAGATTTCGCGGCCGATTTCGTTCCGTTTCAACGATACTCTCCTCTTCTTTTGTAACTAATATAATTCGTAACTAAATTTGTAGACTATTGGCAATTTACGGGGAGGCTAAGCGGCGGGGATATCGCGCGACAGCCCCCGGCGCGACTGCTTATCGAGCGTCCACTGATCTAGCCGGCATCCCGGGTGCCACAGTTATTACTTTGCTACTGTACAGTGAAGCAAGAAACCTTAGCAATTGATAAGTGTCTCGTACGGAAGAGAGACGTCAAAAAATCATCGTAGACCTTGACCAGTCGACTTAGAGACGAATGAACACAGTGAGAGTGCTTGGTCGACAGTAGACCTGGACGGACTTCTAGTGTTAATACGGTGAATGTTGAGTAGTGAGATGTTGACTCCAGTTTGTTGATGTTCTGTAACTGTAAGAGGACTCTGTCTAAAGGCGAGCGAGTTGCGGACGAATTTTTAAGAAAAAGAAAAAACAAAAGAGAGAGGAAGAGAGAGAGAGAGAAAGGGAGAGAAAGAGGGAGCGAACTATTTTTGTAGACCGCAGTCGTCTTCGGACCAGTTTGCTGAAGACTATGGCTGGGCGTTGTAAAAAAAAAGTGTACACGGTGTACCGCTTTGTATCGTCCGCGCACGTGGACACACCGAATTCTTTCGTTTATTCCCGAGGACTCCGGTCGTCCTGGACGATACCGAAGAAGACGAACGAACAGATCTTTTTTCTGTTTTCCTTTTTTTTTTTTTAAAGCGTCGTTCAAACGTTATCCAGCGTCGGGCGACGAGCCCCGACATGGAACTTTCGGTCGCAGTCCCCATGCATTTTCGATGTGTACTTAAGCTCCGGAGAACAATCGTTGACGACGAATCGGTTAACGCCAACTTTCTATACTTTTAGCCGATAATTTACAGCCGTCTTTCACTTCGTGGTGTATATGTTGTTTTTCTTTGGGATTCGGAGAGTGTGCAGACACCAGTTTCCCGACGATGCCATGGCCGATCGTTCGCGCAAGGACACTAGCACGAAGAAACGGCAACGCGTTGTCTGCCGCGTGTCCCGCGACAACAGCGAGATCAAGGAAGAGACGGGGGGGAACCTTGAAGAGTCACTTAGTGCCTGCCTTTTAACTAGCATAAACTCGGATACTTCTAACACTGCCCTTGTAAATACCATTGGAACGCGCGGACGACCGAGTTTCGGCTCCGCGACGCGACGCAACTTCGTCGACTCTTCAGGTGCGCGGGACCTGACCTTGGAACGTTCTTCGATCGACGATCTCATTGAACCATACTGTTACCGTACCGGAAAAATTGTAGCATCGACCCGCGTGCGTTTCACGTACCTAAAGATTATTAGATACTCTTTCTTGCTGGAGAATCCGATACTGTTCTGCTGACAATGGTTGCACACAAGAGCCTAGAACGATACTTCATGCATATTTGCTGCACGCTCGAATGCACTTGCTGTGATCTCACGTTGGGAAAATTGAATCATACTTCTCCACGCGGTTATTTTAAATTGACGAGCGTAAGAGCGAACGTTTTCATGACGCGTAAGAAATTGTTCTATCAATTATTTAAAACATTATCCAATCAGAAGATCGACGTCGATCTTAAAGAACTATGTTGTTCGACAGAAATGAATGTGTCTATCAATGACTATCGTGAAAACCGAACGAAAGTACGTTCGGAGGGATTGGAAACAATTATTACCGTAAGATCAGAAAGTATATAGTCATGGCTGCCGCTAAAAATCGTCGAGAACCCTATCGCGAGAGTTGTAAAAAACGAGTGTCCTGAAATGTCAATGTATATAGCCACGGAAAACCGAGCGGAGGGTTCAACAAATGTCCTCGCACAGACACAAAGAGGCCGAACGTTAAAAAGTATCCGAGAATGAAAGAGATCGGCGATCTAAGGAACGCACAGGGGTCAGAGTTCGTGAAATGTCGCGTTCCCCGGTTCGAACGTTCCAGCGGCAGGTCCCGAAGAATGTGGTTGAGGGTTCGAGGGTCGGAAGAGTCGGCAGAGACGTGTTCCTCGAAGATCGCACGCTGCATCGCGACCGTTGTTGACGTCGGAATTCCAGGGAACGCGGGGATCGCGCTCGATCGACACCCGTGCCCCTGAGATCCTGGCGCGCAGTATGTGTCTAGTCTCGGAAAAGGAGCTCTGCATCATTCTGATTTTATATAATAACGATCCTTTTTTGTGCTGGCGCAAACGTGTACGTACTAACGAAATAAAAATCCTTTATATATGAGAGATTAGAGATGATTGTGGCAGGGACGACGATGCTCCGCGTTTTTCTGTTCTTCCTTCGTTCATCCTCCAGTTCGCCGAATCGATGCCCGGCTGGAAAAGGTTAAACGATTCGCCGGCCTTGACGGGATGCATATTATTTCGTAACCGGTTGCATGGGGCTGGCTTTTCCGCGAGAATAGCCGAGCCTAGGCGAGCGCATCGATCGCGACGCTGGCCGTCGCGACGTCCCTAAGGGAACCGTCGCGCCGATTGGCCGACGCTTACGACGCCGAGCAGCTTTTTGTTATCACGCAGTAAAATTCTCGAGCAGAATCGCGGATCTGCGGCGGGCTGTAAAAAGGAGGCAATGTGAAATTCATTAGGGCCATCAGACGCGTTTATGTCCAGCGATTCATGGTTTTAAAATCGCGCAGGGCGGTAGGCGGACTAGCTCCGCCCCTGGCAGAGGTGAACACCTGCGCCCCATCGCCCCGTTCCTCTCCCACTGTTTGAAAATTGTTGACAACATTTTCTACCGCAGCTCGAAGTGCAACGAAGGCCGGGAACGATTCCAAAAGAGGAACAACTTAGGGGTCGCGAACGACCTCGAGGAGCGCGACTGCTCCAGGGGGTAGGTTCGTTAGGGTTTCTCGCAAATCAAAGAGCAAACAGCGGGCTCCGAGGCCTCCAATCCCATTCCCATCGATCTCGAATCTCCGCACTGCAAGTCACCAACGTTCAATCTTTCTAATTGCAACCAACCCCCTCCCCTAACCGTGTGCCTACGTAGATCCTTCTCATCGTTCTCAATGTCGAATCTGTTCTTTTTTTTTCTTCTGTCATTTTTTTCCAGCGGAGAATCGATCGAAGGGGCGCCACGTCCACGTCGACCGTGGTAAACAATTAACGAGTGCCGCGAAATTCTGTTCAATTACATGGCACATCATCCGACCCGGAATAATAGACCGGCGCGAGGTGACAGCTCGTTACGGGCCGCCACCTTTTTCCTTTTACCTTTGAAACTTTACGACCGAGTGGGATCGTGACTAATCCCACCCTGGGGGAGCCTGCGCCCCCTACTACCGCGCTAAGTCCGCAGAGAAGGACATCCCCGTTGCGGCGCCCCGCGTCTTAAATCTTCCAAAAATTTCATCGTCGCTTCACTTCTCCATTTGTTCCTCGACGATGACAATTTTATTCCGAAAAAATTCTAGTCGCGCGATCTCTTCGCCGTTATTTGAACGAATCGCGCAACCCCGAAGATTTTTTCGACGACTCGAGCTGGTAAGTTTTGCTGATGACTTTTGGTATTTTCGTTGAACGTTCCACGAAGAAGTTGGGAATGTTTTTCACACGCTTGTTCGTTCATAAAATGTCAGCAAAATGCGAATTCGTACGAGTATAAAAATTCCAGCCGCGGTAGAAAGGTGAAGTATTTCCGTAATTGTTTTTCCGAGGGTGGTGATATTGCATGACAAAAGTTTCTGGTGCCATGAAATCGCGGAACGATTAGCTGGAAAGATTCAATTAGCGGTTGAATAGAAATGGAAGGGGGGGTGCAGTATTTTGCATTCATTTGCTCGGAAATTCTCGTTGCTGGCGCAAGTGGGTCAATGAAGGGGGCATTGGATCGAATGTGTTCCTCGTTATAAATTTCTAATAAAAATACGTCACGCTCGGGGCATGCCGGAGATAAGAAAAATGGTGTTCGGATTGATATTTAACGAGCGCGTTTCCGTATCTGGTTGTACGGTATTCATTGGGAGAGAGAGAGAGAGAGAGAGAGAGAGAACAGCGTTCTCGCGTGGTCGGTAACAGGGTCATTCACCTTGCTGCGTTTACCGAACGTGTGAACCCAGCGTGATTAAGGCGACAATACCGTTTCCATTGTGCGGAAGACGTGTATTTAAGCGAGGTATTGCGGTTTATGAACGGGGAACAATGAAGCAACGAGAGTCTCCTTAAAAAATTATTTTTACCACCGTTCCGAAAGGGTTGGAAATTCTTTCGCGAATAATAGGACAGGGCCGTTCAAGCGGCCGTTCCCAGCAATTTCCTTATGCAAATTTCAAGAGTGCATTTATCGAGGCTCCGATTGATTTCCATCGCGGCACACGCACGAATAAATCAATATATTTAATAATTTCCCACAACAGCACCAACGTGTTCTCAATAATTCCGAAGCGGGCAGCCTCGAGTGACTGTCTCCCTCTACGTGGTAGCATTTATCGAGACTCCAATGGTCCCACAATTTCCTAATTTCAATGACAAAGCAAAAGGGGTGCGCTTCTTTCATTTTCATTCATTTAATAATCGTTCCCAGAGATACCCTCGCATCCTCAACAATTATAAAAAAAACAATGCTAGCACAATCTTCACAATTTTGGAAAACTGCAATTTCAATTTACTCGGAAACGAACCAATTCGCCCAACTGCGTCCAAAACCACCCTCCAACAAATGTCACTCGAAAACAGTCGCAATCCCACGTGCAATACAACCACCCTTAGAATTTTATCAGAATCCACCGATATCAACGTACTCGGAGACGAATTAATTTCTGCAATATCGCTTTCAAGAATCCGCCCTCCAGCAACGGGGACAGAAAATCAGGTAAAATCCTACCCCATGTTATGCACCAAGGATCGGCGTGCAAGCCGACGAAATCCAGAGTTTCGAACGACAGTATCCGAACGTTCTCGACTGGCGGTTTGAAAGATGGCGGGCGAGGGTAGCCCGGTGGCCCGACAGCGGCGTCGTGCACCCCTGGTGTTCGTTGGTTCGTGGGTAAGGGTGGCGAGTGCGCGTTCGAGAGACAACGAGCATGAGTAGGACGTGGGTCGCCGTGCGTCGGTGCAGAGGGCCGAGAGAGCGTGTCTCCTGCGGAACACAGCTGGCACGGACCGTCAAGATGTAAGCTGTCGGCAGAGAGACGTGTCCACGGTAGCCGCTGGCCCAGGCCGAGAGAACGTGCACGAGAGAGAGAGAGAGAGAGACTGGATAGAGAAGAGAGAGAGGAAGAAGGAGAGGAGTGAAGAAATCGTGCAGAAGAGAGAAGAAAGAAGGAGAAAGCAGCAGCTTTGGGAGAAGAAGACGTCGACGTCGAGGAAGAAGAGGCGAAAGTGGTGGCGCGGAGCAACGACGAGCGATCAAACTGGGCCGATCAGGGAGGATGGTGTAGCGGGAACCTGGGGGATCGATTGCTTCCCGATAGTTGGCATGGAGGACACGGCACTGGGGTAAGTGAGACACCGGGGGTTGTTCCCGTGGTCCGCTTAAAGGGGTGCGTACCGTGGCATTCGCCAGGATTCGGCGATCGATCGCGGCCAGATCCGCGCGATCTATCCTGCCACTCGGTGACTAATGTGACTAGGATTCATCGGCAAGTGTTTGTTAATCGATATCGCGTCGGCCACCCCTGTCGCGGCTCAACCGTTGCCTCCTCGTGAAAATCACTCTCACCCCCGATCGACGGACGAGATGCCCCTGTGGCCTCGTTTCCACCAATCTCCGAACCTACGCGGACTCCGATCCGGCCCGAACCCGGCGCGATCTCCTACACGAGTAAATACCCGCGCCAGTGACCCATTGTCTTTCGCTCTTTGTTGGTCCCCGCTGCTGCCGACAATCGCGGCTGGGTCCTATATTTCCTTTTAAACGAACCCGCTCACCTGGAGCCCATTCAGGAGCCGACCGTCCGACGATGCTTCGCGCGTCGCGACGCCGTGCTCGCCTAATCTCCGTGCGATCTTAACCCTTGCACAGTGCTCGGAACGCTAGTGCCACGGTCGGGCTTTCTGCTCGCGAGCACGCAGGGGCTGGAACTAATAGGTTCACTTTCGAGTAGGATTACGCGAAAACAGTTACGCTAATATTACAGAATTTTCTGTGGAAAGCTTGCATGCTACCGAATCACGGTGGTTTCGCTTTCGGACGAGCTGCGATCCAGTTGCCGGAAAAAGGTCGGGAAGGGTTAATTTTGTTTTAGGATTTGTAATTTTGTCAGGGAAATGGTTTCTTTCTGCTTTTCGCGTTCGGCTTAGACAATTTATTTTTTGCGTGCTTCGGCTCTCGAATTAACTTTAATATTTACTTACCGTCGTTCAGTCTGCAGGTGCAACGTTTGAAAACAATTATAATTAGGATCATCATCTATCTTGCTCAGCAATGATAATGTCTTCGAGTTTCTGCACTCGGTTTAACAAACTTATCAAACGTCTCATCAACAAGTAGAACATTTTAGAGCAATTTCCTTCAGCGCTACCATCTGGGTCATTACGCAAACTACGTCTCTATTGAAACTTTTATTTCTCCTACGTTCTCCGCGGAAACTACATTCGTCTATAAAAATATTACACGGCCATTATCGAGTTACAATGTCTTCTTATGGGAACGTCGAAGTTATTAACCAGATACTTATTAGCTGGTTATTTACCGGATTCGCGTCATTTGTTCTCGCGTTGAACATTTTCGAATTTACGATTGCTGAAATTATAACGAAATTATTCAATTTTATCTCATTGAACATACATTTACCGACAAAAGTTAAGAAATATTTCACACAGATGCATATTCTCGGGTGTATTAAAACTTCTTAACATAGAACCAATATATGTATCGCGTCGACCAAACTATTAATTCCAGTTTCTTTTTAATTTTCGTAATTCATTACACTTATTTTATTTTTTATTTCTTTGTTATTTGTCGTACGCACTAAATAAAAGAATGTTGCAATACGAACAACGTGTTATACGCCCTCGCTACGATATGTATTTTTAATCGAATAAGGCGTATATTTATTAAAATATCAGAGTTTCTTAGTTTCAGTGTTTCTTTACTTTTTGTCGGCAAATGTATTTTATAATGAAAATCGCTAGAAGTCCGAACGTTTGTTATTTGTAACATGAAATAGCTGGTTTTAGTGCACCGTAAACCCAATTAATAAAGTACAGCCTTAATATAGCGTAAAGCCCCTGTCTGGCGGAGTCCCGGTGTAAATTCAGTGTGAAACGCGGCTCGAACGGTTCCCTTTGGATTATCAATACGCGGGATGAATTTTTAATCGGATATGGAAATTGTTTGAAGTGAACTATTCATGGCAGGATAATTGTGCAGCGAACCCGGTCGCGGAAGAAAGTGGCATGGAAGGGGTCGGCCGTCTCGCCGCGAAACCCACCCCCATAGAATCTCTATCTCTGATAGGACGTCGTGTCGCGTCGCGTCGCGTCGCTCGATCCCGGGAAAATCTAAATGTAAATCGCGAAGATCCGCGAACGAGATAAACGGGGAGCTTCCGTGCGTCGTTATCGGGACGCTTATTGAATGAGGAAACGCTGGGAAATCGCCGGTGGATTTTTCTCATCTTTCCACGGGACAGTGCTGTCGTTTTGACCTTTCCCGTTGTTTTCGTACCCCCCTCGCGTGCGTATTCGGCCATTTTATATTCCCGATACTACGAGCATTGTCTCTCTGTTGTGTTTCCGCTCGATGCAATTTGTTTCAAAGATGGAACCGTGAATATTGCACGGTTGATGGAGCCAACGTGTAAATGTTAAAGGACATTGAATGTTTGAAAAGGGGAAGCGCGAGCACCCTTTAAATCGGATGACAAATTGGAAACGACAATTTTGCAGAAACTCTCGCAGTCGTCGTTATTAGGTGCTTGAATAAATGTTGCTTTCATATTAAAATGTCGAGAGAGACGCCGTGCTCGCTGCGAAATTGCTGCGAGCTTCGTGCGTTCGCAGATCATTATCCTCTTCTCTGTCATTTTTTTTTTAAACGAGCCCACCAACTTGCCTGTATAATTACCAGCTTAATATTTTATTTCGTCGTCTAGACTCGCCTGATCGTAATCGTGTTCCGTGGAACTTCGCTGCGACGAAGTAATCCGCTATTACTAGTCTTTAAAGAGCGTGATATATACCTGCTATTGAGAGGTCGATAAGACGACGAAGACTAATCGTAGATCGAGTTTCAGGGTGTCGTTGTAAAGGGGAAGCTTCGAACTTCACGTCTACGGTAGACTCGTCGCCTGAACAAATTGTCCATCGTCATCGTTATTTCTTTTTCTAACAAGAATAATGGTGCTCGAGAGATGAAAACGCGTCTTTGTTTTTTGATCTGCTGCGTCGTGCAGAATTATCCGATGACGAGATAACTTACGGTCTTCGAAAGTAGAGGCTTAAAGCTTTAAATTGACTGCAAGGTTACTACCATACAATTTTTTTTCACGAAGTGATAATAATTTCAGTGTCGCAAATTTCTGGTACTTTCTGATGCTACACTGAAAAACCGTGTCCCCAATTTCCGACCTTCCGTATCATAAAACGCGACCTCGAAAAAAATGACGCACGATCTGTGAAAGTAGAGGCTTCAAGCTTCAAAATGACTCCAAGATTCTGGTCATACAATCTTTTCCCCCGAAGTGACAATAATTCGAATATCGCCAATTACTAAACATCGAAAAAATGCCCCTTTCTGGTGCTAAATTGAAAAATCGTGTCACCAGTTTCCGTCCTGCTGTATCATGAAAACTCACCTCAGGAAAGAATGACAAACGGTCTACGAAAGTGGAAGCTTCAAGCTTTAAGACGAGTCTAGACTCATTCTCGTGCAATATGTTTTCACGAAACCACAGCAGCTTGAATGTCAGCGATTTCGGGAAATCGGAAAATCGTCCAGATACTTCCCGAAGCTACGGCGTTGAAAAGATCGCGATCGTAGACAGTGGCATCGGATTCCCAGATGGGAATCAAAATGATCCAGTCGAGGCCACTCTGTTCTAACGATTCTTCCGCGGGAGGGGCCCTATGGGCGAATTAGACGTGACGAGGGTTTAAACGAGAACACGTAGGCCTCGGCAGAACGGCAGAAAGCGGCTCGACTCGGCTCGACTCGGCGTCGCCGGTCGTGTTCAAGCTTTCCGCGGGCTCGAAAACTGTAGGGGTCGGTTAGAGCCCTCAGGTAAATGGCTCCTAACAACTTTTTCGCGCTCCGGGGGTGGAAGGTGCGACTTTATTAACGTTGGAACTCTTCCAACCGAGGACGTTCGCGTTGAACGATCTCTCTCTCTCTCTCTCTCTCTCTCTCTCTCTCTCTCTCTCTCTCTCTCTCTTACTCTCNCCGTGAATATTGCACGGTTGATGGAGCCAACGTGTAAATGTTAAAGGACATTGAATGTTTGAAAAGGGGAAGCGCGAGCACCCTTTAAATCGGATGACAAATTGGAAACGACAATTTTGCAGAAACTCTCGCAGTCGTCGTTATTAGGTGCTTGAATAAATGTTGCTTTCATATTAAAATGTCGAGAGAGACGCCGTGCTCGCTGCGAAATTGCTGCGAGCTTCGTGCGTTCGCAGATCATTATCCTCTTCTCTGTCATTTTTTTTTTAAACGAGCCCACCAACTTGCCTGTATAATTACCAGCTTAATATTTTATTTCGTCGTCTAGACTCGCCTGATCGTAATCGTGTTCCGTGGAACTTCGCTGCGACGAAGTAATCCGCTATTACTAGTCTTTAAAGAGCGTGATATATACCTGCTATTGAGAGGTCGATAAGACGACGAAGACTAATCGTAGATCGAGTTTCAGGGTGTCGTTGTAAAGGGGAAGCTTCGAACTTCACGTCTACGGTAGACTCGTCGCCTGAACAAATTGTCCATCGTCATCGTTATTTCTTTTTCTAACAAGAATAATGGTGCTCGAGAGATGAAAACGCGTCTTTGTTTTTTGATCTGCTGCGTCGTGCAGAATTATCCGATGACGAGATAACTTACGGTCTTCGAAAGTAGAGGCTTAAAGCTTTAAATTGACTGCAAGGTTACTACCATACAATTTTTTTTCACGAAGTGATAATAATTTCAGTGTCGCAAATTTCTGGTACTTTCTGATGCTACACTGAAAAACCGTGTCCCCAATTTCCGACCTTCCGTATCATAAAACGCGACCTCGAAAAAAATGACGCACGATCTGTGAAAGTAGAGGCTTCAAGCTTCAAAATGACTCCAAGATTCTGGTCATACAATCTTTTCCCCCGAAGTGACAATAATTCGAATATCGCCAATTACTAAACATCGAAAAAATGCCCCTTTCTGGTGCTAAATTGAAAAATCGTGTCACCAGTTTCCGTCCTGCTGTATCATGAAAACTCACCTCAGGAAAGAATGACAAACGGTCTACGAAAGTGGAAGCTTCAAGCTTTAAGACGAGTCTAGACTCATTCTCGTGCAATATGTT